CCGGCATGGGGAGTGGGGGGTATCCTGTGCCCTGTGAGGCCTCCCTGAGGGTCCATCTCTCTTCCCTCTGTGCACCCAACCAGGCTCACAAGAACCAGGTGGTAGCAGGAAAGAAAGAGACTGTGAAAGTGGCACCACAGAAGGCACAGAGGACTTGTGTTGTCCTGGGAGTGGCCAAGAACAATGAGATCAACCTGAAAAAGTGAGTAGCCAGGGGAGATGGGGACAAAGACTGAGGCAGGGGGGATGCTGCAGGGCAAGCCTGGCCCATGGGGAAGAACATGCAGTGATGGGGTGATGGAGACCATGAGCCAGATGAGGCAGTTTTATCTACTGTGTGCCCTCCCCAAGTTGTTCAAGGGGAGGTTTAGATTGGATATTGGGAAAAGTTTCTTCATTGAAAGGGTTGTCAAGTATTAGAACAGGCTGCCCAGGGAAGTAGTTGAGTCGCCATCCCTGGAGGTCTTTAAAAGATGTGTAGATGTGCTGTTTGTGGGGGATTTGGCAGTGTTAGCTTTACGGTTGGACTCAATCTTAAAGGTCTTTTCCAACCCAAATGATTCCAAGAGTCTCCATGGGGATATTTTAGGGGTGGTTTAGCACTTTCCTGGAGAAGCCCTTTCAGCCAGGAGATGTTGCTCCCTCCCAGCAATGATTTATGCTCTTGTCTTGTCCAGGTCAATGAAGAAAACTCCAGGAGAGGTTCCTGCAGAGCCCAAGGAAGTTCTTTCACCAGAGGAGCCAATGATTGTGGAGGTACTGAAGCCCTCCAAGGAGAGGGCAGGGACCTTGGGCTGCAGCCTGGCCCCTAGTCACATCCTGACTGGTGCTGGTCTATGGCTGGTGATACTGGGGCACTAGGCAGTGCTTTGGACCTTGGAGATACTGGGGCCAGTGTGATTTGAAGCTGGGGAGGGGGGTAAAGCCCTCCCACCTTCTTCCTTCAAAAGATATCCTGTGGGGTGACGGGGGCAGATGGGGAAGGGGGTGCAGAGGTGCAGCAGTGTTGCCCTGAAGGTGTGACCAGCACTGACAGAGCACAGGGCTTCCCTCTTACTGCTGCCTTCTTCATCCCACCAGTTTCCAGCAGTGGAGGACGTAGACAAGGACCAGCTTGATGACCCCTATGCCAACGCAGAGTATGCCAAGGAGATCTTTGAATACATGCGGGGAAGAGAGGTGGGTGATGCCCTGGCCAGGGGGTGGCAGCCCTGTCTGGGGAAGTGGTGACTGTGAGCTGGGCTCTGAGCACCTGGTGGGGGTCTGTATGGAGCAGGAGGAGGCTTATTCGAGGGCAGTGGTGTCTGGTGAGTCCCTGACAAGCTGGTACCTTGACAGGAGAAATTCATGCTCCCCAACTACATGGAGAAGCAACCAGATATCAGCACGGACATGCGTGCCATCCTGGTAGACTGGATGGTGGAGGTGCAGGTACGTGGGCATGGGGAGGGAGCATGGTTCCTGCCCTGCCTTTGGCATGTGGGACCTCAGGATGCCAACAGAGGCTCCTGCATGTGTCCCCAGTGCAGAGCATCAGCTCTTCCCCCCTCCACAGGCTGGGGCTGAGCCTGCATCCTTCCCCCCAAGTCTGGCCCCATGGGCACCTCTGGCCCCTGTGAGGGAACCTGGGAGGCCAAGCAGGCTTATCTTCTTCATGACATCCCCTCCTGCCCACATCCTTGCAGGAGAACTTTGAGCTGAACCATGAGACACTGTACCTGGCTGTGAAGCTGGTGGACCACTACCTGGCGGAGGTGGAGACTATGAGGGACAAGCTGCAGCTCATCGGCTCCACCGCCATCCTCATCGCCTCCAAATTTGAGGTAACCCCTTGAGCACTGTCTTGGGGTGCTGGGGCAGAGGAGGCTGTGCCTCTCTTGTCCCCATGGGTTATTGGAGAAGACAAAGGTCCCTGCAGTGCCAGGCCACTGCCCTGAGAGCTTGCTGGGGTGACATGTCTGTCCTTGTGTTACCCCTTCCTATCCCAAGGGATGTGAATGCAATCCCAGTAGGCTGGATCCTGTCTCCTGGTGTCACTGGAGACCTGGCTCCTCTCTGCTCTGCAGAGACCACCAAGACACCTGAGTTCACCTCATGCAAGCAAGGCTTGGAGTCAGAGACAAGGGTTGGGGCAGTATAGACAACACAAGCCCCACTTGTAACAGTCCTTCAGAGTCTGGCAGGTCACGAAGCCCTCCCAGGGCCTGCAGACTGGTAGGAGGAGTCCCTGAGCATTGCCAGGATGAGCCCCTGGTAGGGTGCTGAGCAGTTATGCCCCAGCAGGAGCGGTGCCCACCCTGCGTGGATGATTTCCTTTACATCTGTGACGATGCCTACAAGAGGGAAGAGCTGATTGCTATGGAAGAAAGCATCCTCAGCACCCTCAAGTTTGACATCAACATCCCCATCGCCTACCGCTTCCTGCGACGCTTTGCCAAGGTGGGTACAGCAGGAGGGTGAAGCCTCCAGGCACCCTGGGGTGGTGATGAGCTTCCCTGGAGCCCTGGGCTACCAGCTGGCATTGAGGAAGGTTTAGCCAGGTCCCCTCAACAGCGTTGAGGGGTGAGGATGCTGGTTTGTGGCACACTGGGGTGTCCTGTGCTCCATGAGCTGCTTCTAGACAAGGCTGAGGGTGGGGAGCAGCACTGCTCAAAAGGCTGAGCCTTTCCCTGGCTGTAGTGTGCCCGTGCCACCATGGAGACGCTGACCCTGGCTCGCTTCCTCTGTGAGATGACCCTGCAGGAGTATGACTATGCCCAGGAGAGACCCTCCAAGCTGGCTGCCAGCTGCCTGCTGCTAGCACTCACCATGAAGAACCTTGGTGGCTGGGTAAGCACCTACCCAACCTCTGCACCATGGAGGTGCAGGAGTGGATGGACTGGTGGGGGGGGATGCT